CCCCTTCTCTCATCACCATGTGCCTGGGAGCCTTTGCATCAGCACAGGTCCCATCTCATCCCATCAGGCTGACTGATGTCTTGTTTCATCAAATGCATCGACTGAAGAGTCAACTACTGATAGACGTAGAGAGTGTTGCAAATTACAGTGTGCTGAATATTGTCTTACTGAAATCTTGTGCTCTTCCTCAACAATATCTATAGAGGACTTGTCAAAAGTAACATTTTGGGGGAAATGCATCTGAAGCTTTTGTTAGTTGCCAGGTTTCCTTCCCAGAATGCTGTGGCGATCTGAACTCACACCCAAGGTGCGTGGCACAGCCTGTTCCATTTCTCTCAGGCTGTCAGGCTCCAGTCACAGAGACCAGACGGGAGCTTGACATAATGGTAATCGCGAGCTTTTTTGAGCATGAAAAAAATGTTAATTGAAGTCTGTGCTACCATCCAGCTAGCAGGTGGGTCCCCTTTTATTTCACCTTTTGTATTTTCTTTTTGTTTTCAGCTTTGTGCTTTTATAGATAAAAGGCAGTAAAAACTATATTTGTAAATGGCAGCCATGTCCCTACCTGCTGGGGGCTTCCATTTAGCAGTTAGACTGCTTGGTCACAAGTATGAGCATTTAAAGTCTCTTGAAACACACACAAATCGCCTCCCAGAAGTGTTGAGTGCTGGACACCCCGAGTTCAGGTGGGAATGATTGTCTCACCTCGTGACCGCGATCATTCTTACCAGCTTTGAAATGGGGGACTCCGTATTTCTTCTTGTTTTCGCTTTAATTTGATTGCTAATAAGGCAAACCACTTTTGTGTTTATTCTCCTTATGGTTTTCTTTCATCAAGTTCTTGCCCCGGAAGCCTATTTTCTTAGTGTGTTGAGTGTTTTTCTTACTGGGTAATAAGGACTATTTATTCATTATTTTAACACTCAGTCACTTCTTATTTGAAACCCTTCCAAGGAAATCTATTAGCAGTAAGCAGGGTCGAAATGCAAAACAATGATAAAACTTTTCAGTGTGAGACCAGTGGAGAGAGTGTGTTCACAGAAGGACGAGTTCTTTCAATTGTCACTTCTAACTTTGTGACTTTCCGCTCTGCTTTGTGGTAGATAGGACAGCTTTGCTCTGAAAATTTTAAAGCATTTTATGACATTATTTTTAAGAACGTGTAAGAGGGGTCCTATATGACTGATGCATGCTTCGTCCTGATCTGTTCTTCAGAAATCTCATTGGTGGCTTTCCATCGCACCTTTTAGAGTGGTTCTTGCTGAAGAGAAGGTCTTTTATCGTCAAATATTCCGATTTTCAATCTTTCCTCTTATGACTAGCTTTGGGTCTCATCCAAAAAGAGCAAACCAATATTCACTTATATTTATCTTAAAGTGTCACTTTCAACAATGGAGATGCTCGCTCATTTGGCGTGGCTGGGAGTCCAGGGTCCTTTTTCATATAAATCATCAGCTTTTCGGCTTCGTTTATTGTCTCTCCGTCCCCAGTGACTCCTGTGACACCTCCGCCCTATATCAAGCCCCCTGTGCTCTGCCCACATTTGTCGGTCCCAGCACCGCCGTCCGCGCCCATCACAACTGCTGTCTTCTCGGGGAGGCTCTCACTCTGCTAGCGGGGGCCTTTCTTGGCGCCTGTTGCTGGGATGTCCTGGCTTCTCTTATCCTTGGTCCTCTTATGCTCCAGATAAACTCTAGCACTAGCTTGTCACGTTCCATAGAAAATGCAGAATCAAATTACTCTGATTCTGGTGTGTGTCTTATTGAAGAATTCTACATGTTTAAGTTTTTATCTGGCATCTCTGACTGCAGACTTGATTTGAGGTAACAAGTGTCCAGGTGGTTTTGCTACTAGAAATAATGACCATCTTGATATTGAACAACTGCTCAGTTCTAGTGCACAGAAGCATCCCAAAACGCATTTTTACCTGTTGATTCCGTAGCCACCTCCTTGCCAAAAATTGGGTAGATGACCTAGTTTCTATGTGCTCGGTAACACCAACTACAAATAATGACAATCTTGTATTTCTTTCTGTTCCTAGTGTCTTATTTTTCATGCCTTTATTGCTCCTTAAGCAATCTTTAGGACAATACTAAATAGGACAGATTTCTTTATCTTGCATGAAATTTACGATGTCAACCTGTCTCATCAGTTAGGGAAAGCTGCATTAAATATACTAGATTAGAAATAATCACTCTATGATTATGTCTACACAGTGGAACCCCTCTTGAGTCTATGAAAACAACAATTCAAAAGTGTCTTTCAGGCTGGTAGAATTATTCAGTGATTTTAGCTGTGCCTGTAAGTAGCTTAGGCAAGTCCCTTATCCTCTTTATAGTTCAGACTCTTCAACTGTTTGCAGGCATAATGCCATCTACGTTAGTATGTCATGGGTTAGAAAACTGGGCCTAGAACGCTGGGCGTCCCTGGTGGGTCAGGAGTGCAGTCCCAGCACTATCAAACTGTCGCAGCCACTGTGGCTGAATCCAACCCTCGACCAGGGAGTGACCCCCAGGGCGCAGCAGACCGCTCCTGTCTCCCCACTACTCCCCTCAGCAGTAGATTTCAGTGGACCCTACTGTTCTGCTCCCCTGCCTCTGGTGAGTCCTCTCACGCCTGCACCTCTGGCCTGTACCCCAGTTCTTGTCTGCATGAATAAAAGTAAATCTTAAAAGAAAATAAATGAGTATTATCTTGGCATCAGGGAGCAAACAGTACGTGGGCAAAGATGTTTTAATTTTAAGTAAGGACCACGGGACTTTGGTCAGAC